TAGAATTTTTTTTTGTCTACAAGCAGAAAACTGTAAACTGAAATTATTATATGGTAGTTATACCATTACATGGTGTATTAAATTGTTAATTAATGTTCATTATTATCATTTTCTGACTATTAAAAAAAATTCAAATTAAATCCTGGGCAAATTTTAAGGTACAGGGTGATCAGTGTAGATTCAGGGTGATGAAATTAATTTCTTGTATCTAATACATGAAAAACATGACATCCTTGCTCTCAATCTGCAGGAATCTGAGCTGCACGGCCACTCAACTATTCTCATTATTGTTATTATTATTATTGTTGTGTTGTTGTTGTTGTTGTTGTTGTTAACAAACAGATTTAACAACAAATGGTTGCAGCACAAATAATAAAGTGTAGACCTACTTGCAGTGTGTCCTGTAGGTGGCAGTAAAGCGCCTTTACCCTAAATTACCAGCTGCTACACAAAGAAGAAAGCTGCGTAACAGTCAGGAAGTGAACCTGTGTAAACACATTTCCACACTGGGAGTTTTCTTACTTAAAACATGTATTACTCGAGTTTCCATGGTTTTATCATCGTAGAACATTGTTGTTGAACTCGGAGACTCTTCTTAGGGGTTCAGTGTTGTTGGCAAAGAAGATGTGACGAGACGTAGAGGAGTTTTCACAGTTGTAGTTTAATGTATATTACTGAAGAATCCAGCTCTTCATCTATAGCTAGCCTTTCCATTTCTGTATCTTTGTATGAGCAGCTACAGATGTTTGTTCACCACAGTTGTACCAAGGACCAGTGAGAGGACAAACCCGGCTGATCTTAAAACCATGTTGTCAGTGTGGTTCTGGTTTGGATCAGATCGTCCTGGTTTCTGTGTGGGAACCTGCTCATGGATAATCCTCATGCTGCTGCTGTATGCTGGTGGCATCCAGGGGAGTCTCAGCCTGGGTCCAAATGGAGACTTCCCAAGGCTCAGGGGTAAATGTCCTGTCTAGTTTTTATCATAATGCAGAGCTGATGTTTGAGTGTTGATGAAATCATGACACATTCTCTCCTTCTCCTCAGATGTGTTCCTGTACGCCCTCAGTCATGATGAGCTGCCCTCTCTGCTGGTCAGTGTTGCTCTCCTGCTGCTGTGTGGACCCTGTCAGGAGCATCGATGGGGAACAGTCGCCTTCCTTGCCCTCTCCATCCTGACCATGACCATATTACCTCTTCTCTACACCCTGGTCCTCTTCATCGGTGGCGGAGAGGCGAGTAGGATCTGTGGTTACTCTGCCATTCAGTTGGCTATGCTCACAGCGCAGTGTTGTCAGGTGAAGCAGAGGAGGGTGCTGAGGTTTTTTCCAGTCTGGTTTCTTCCCTGGATCATTCTGCTGGCTGGGTTACTGCTGCTGCCGTCAACACCTGCCCTGCTCCACTTTTGCGCAATATGCATCGGACATAACTGTATCCTTTCTTTTTCAGGCACATTTAACTTAACTAAACCAAATATAATATATTTTTCTCTCAAGTCTTTCCTTTTATATTACTTAATATACCACTCAGATCGCCTGCCCTTCATTGGGACATTACAGGAGCTGGAGGAGGCCAGGGTCTTGGACCTCATTCCTAATTGGGCATATGTGTCCACATCAGCGAGGTTCAGATTACCCACCTACACTTCCTCACAGAGGTGCGATTCATCTCATTCATAGCAAAGCCTTACTGAACATCAGCAGTGGCAGATTTTAAACATTTCATCATCCTCTGTTATCACCCATCTAGATTCCTGTCTCAGATAACACCTGTTGATAAGGCTGCTGCTCCCCCCATGAGGGACCAGTCCACCCTGAACCACCAATCCTGGGGCCAGCCGGTTCCTGCCTGGATGATAGAGCAGGTTCCAGCAATGTCTGAGGCAGAGGTTTTGGAGGAGCAGATGCTAAGGGCAGGGATACTGGCCTCATTACAGGATGCTCCTGATGACCCTGATGCAAAAGTGGAAGTTCCTAAATCATCAGTCTCCTCATTGCGGTGAGTGAGAATTTGACATCCTCATGCATATCATGTTTCATTTTTTGTGAATTGGCAGGTATATCTTTTTTTTACAATTTAAACTGCTCAGATAACATTGGAAATCAATTTTTATTTGTGGATTAAAGTCCTCATTCACTAAAACACCAGTGTTTCCTTTCAGACTCCAGCAGCTGGAGAAGATGGGCTTCCCCACAGAGAAAGCTGTTGTGGCATTAGCAGCCTCAAAACAGCTAGATGGCGCCATCTCTTTGCTTATTGATGACAGTGTAGGGGAACAAGCTGTTGTGGTTTCAAAGGGGAAGAGCCCTCTGCCTCCACAGAGCACCTAGATGACCTCACACTCCCGGACTGAGTCTGTGATAGTATTTGCACATATGCAGTAAACTTAACATAAATAATGCTTGGGTTTTGCTGAGCTTCAACATGGTTTTATTTTCCCTGTGGGCCTCTTGTTGAATTGTTTTAATGATCAGACTGTGAGTTTCATTCAGTGTAAATGCAATGTGATGATCAGACAGAACTTCTGTATCTACACATAAAATGCACATTGGAGAGAGTGGATGTAATTTATCAACATTGTGATGGTGTGTGAAAAAACATTGTTGAAACACTAATGAAGATTTGACACAATTAAAAAAAAAACAATAAACATTATTTTATTACACCGATCATCTGGACAGGATTATTTTAACACAATAACACATTTGCATGAAAAAAAATGTTCAAAAATATGAAATGGTTACACAACAGCATACAAAATAAACTACAAATGATCATTTTTTAAATAGTTTCACAATAAGTTTGATATAAGATGAAAGAACAATTATCAAGTCTTTTCATCAGGACAGTTTAAGCAGTTTACCAACACAACAGTGGTAAAAACAGGTTCAAGTTCCAGTAACAGTTTTGCTATTTTCTTGTGTGTGTGTTAATAGATGGTGAAATGGACAGTCAGAATGCAACATCATGATTGTTTCAATTGATATGCAGCCAAATTTAAATGCAAATATTGTGCATTTGCACAGATTAAATGTAAATATATTACTGTTTGTTGATCCACTTCATCCGTGTGGACTTTAAGGGGGAAAAACACTCACACCAGAAAACCACAAATCACTGTCAGCAACATGTATCTCAGTTAGAGTAGAGATTACTTCATTTTTTAGTGCACTACATAACATTGAGTTAAACAATATGATAGAAGTATAACAAAAATTAATACGAGAAGAAGAGGTTTGTTTATGTAATTGTGTCCTGCAAACTGCACATGCTCAATATACTTAAATAATGGAATCTCATCAAGTTGCAGTTACATACTTGAAAGCAATACAAACTCAAATCCAGTCTCTTTGCTCACATCTGATTCATCCTTCAAATTATTACTCTAAATGACCCTTATTGTCCAGAACTGTGTGCACTCGAGGAGCACATCAGATCATCCTTTTTCTTTTTCAAACATATTCTGAGGCTTCAGTTCTGTAGCCAAAGAAAATGAGACACAGAGAGGGGGGCTGCTGGGTGTATTGTGTATAGATAAAGATAGAGTGTAGTTATGGCAACAGGTGGGTGGGTGGGGGGTCAAACTAGTTCTCCAGTTCCCGATAGAGGAGGAGTATTGTGGAGTATCAGTGAAGTTTCCCTGAGGTGTCCCCCCCCCCCCAACCTAAATCTGACTGTATCAGATGCGGTTTAAATCTGTTGAGTGCCGATGAGACCTATAGGAGGGGGAATTCAACCCAGCCCGTGATCCTCAGGGTGAGCGGGGGGGTGTGGGCTACTTCCCTCGAACCTTGGTGTCGGAGGACAGAGGAGAAGCGAGTCGATATGGAAGCGCACCTGCTCGTTTATCTCTGTAGAAACTAGGGGAGGCTGTGCCAAACGGTCCATCCCCAGACCCTAGATCAGGCTCTGTTGAAGAAAGACAGCAGTTGGAACGGGGCCTCCCTGTCCATGTGTGTGTGTGTGTGTGTGTGTGTGTGTGTGCACTGTGTTGTCCTGAGTCAAGTCTGCTCTCAAGTAGTTACAGTGCATCATGAGTGGGTGTTTTGAGATGCCAAGATCATTAACTGTTTGATATTTCTTTCTTGATAAATGACTTAAACAATGTATTGATCATCAGAATTATTTTCTAAAGTTTGATTTCATTAATTAATCTCTATATACAGCAGTATGGTTAGACATACTTTACATCTATTGGTATATGTAAACCTACCAAACATGATTACGCAAGATTTATGTTGATCTTAACATTAAAGCCGCTAAGACTTGGTTTAAAATCTTAAAAATATTCACAAAGTATAATTAATTTGAGGAGTTGAGTTTATTTAGTCTTTATCAGGTATATTTGTGTTTTGTTTGATCACACTGAATTGATGGTGTCGGTCACATAAGCAACCAAACAACAAAAATGATTAGAAAATTATTTATCAACTTAAAAAACACACAAAATAATAAATGTATCTGATCAACTTAAAATTAAGAAGTTATATTAACACAGATAGTTAAAACAACTTTCTTGTTGCAAATTTAAGTATTTGTTAAGGCGGTTCTTTTTAGTGAAGTCAACTATCACCTAATCTAGTGCTTGGAAGCAAAAGTATATGATATCATCTTTTCCCAGCTGAGCCTCCTCCACTGTAAACCAGTGAGAAGAGCACAGAAAAATGCACAAATACACGAATAGCTCATCTGAAATCACCCAAAAATGTTTAAACTTTGGCAGGAAGCCTGTTCATGTTCAGGACCTTTGCAGTCATATCTGTGTTGCCATGACACTGAAGGATCATCACAACCAAAACATTTCAGACATAAAACATATATTTCTAAAAAAACATCTATTTGCCAGTGACCAGATCAACATTCAACAATCAGAAATGTTGCGCTTCTAACGCTCGATCAACATTCTTTAAATCTTGTCAATAAAAAAGTCAGTGAGGGCCGGCAGGACTGTGGGTGGGGATGTGTCAGTGTTACCTGGCCAGATGATAGCCTCCAGCAGTGTCACCCTGCGAGCCAGAAGCTCAAGGTCTGCCTGCAAGTCGTGGAACATCTGCAAGCTAACGTCCTATCAGAGAGCAGTGACAGGGGGGACTGTGTGAGGGGGTGGAAACACCAGCCCGAGTCCTGGGGCTGCTCGTGACTGTTCCCACTCCCTGTCCCAGTGCAGTGAGGTGCGGTGGGAGTTTGAGCCCCCCCCCCCCCACGGCCCCCTCACATTTGACCCCTGCCTAAAGCTGACCCTGCCTCAGGCCTCCTACTCACCATGAATACCGATCATAGTCTCAAGGATTAAAACCCTCTCGGCTAAGATCTTCAGCGCCTCTCTGATCTGATGTATTCCGTCCCCCTGTGAAGATAGATACAGCCGTCAAGGTAAAGAGCACAAGCCGAAGAACTGCTCGCCAAGATGCAAGGCGTTTGTCTCAATACAGTTCAGCAGTTAGAAGGTTAAAACAGTCCACACATCTGCCCAGCTCTTCAGACACAATCTGCTCCCTGGATTTCTCTGTATCTCCCTCATTCTCTGGCCATGCTGCTGTATGAAGTCACTCTCTGTCATGCTGGGCTGGGCAGTGTCAGCATGCACATTACACACCAGCCTCACTTTGGTGACAGAACACAGGTGTATTACACCTCCATCATGCCATCTACATTCCTTTATGTCAGGTATTGCAGTTAAGCCAGGCAAGTATCATTCTTAACGCTGTAGTCACAAATGCTAACCAATCTTTAGCTGACAGAAGGAGCAGCATAGATTCAAATTTAATTCAGTTTGTTGTTAAAGGAGTCACACCTTCAAAAGCAACACAAGTAGTAGAACAAGAGAAGTAAAGAAGATGACGGAAATGGAAAGTATCAATGTTACAAAACAAAGCATGCAGAGGAAAGGCTGTAGGTGCCCAGGTGAGTGATTCCACTAGGAAATGCTCTGGCTAGTAAGACAAGGACATAATTCATGTCTGAAGAGAAAAGGCAAAGTTTCACTGACTCACAGCTGCATTTTTACATTTTTTAATGATGCAGGGATGACAACGTAGGCCGGGACAATATGGCCAAACGTTACATCAAGAATGTTTTTTTTCACATTATCAGATCACAATAAATGTTGCATTAATATTTCTTCGTCTAAAGACAGATTTTTGCTCAGTGTAAACAAGCAAAGTTGGAATAACAGCTCTGGGTTATACAACATACATCTCAGGCTTCAGTTTGTTGGATCGAAATCAAAAAAGAGAAACTTTGCCTTTTTTTCCTTTTTAACACAACAATGTTATTATACTGATTACATTCACATTGTAGTTGACTTTCACATCCAGAGAATAAAAGAAATTGTGCAGCACAAAAAGATAAAATCATGCAAGGTTGCATTGTGGGATTAAAGAGGATAGCTGTATCCACTCACATCAGAGCACCACACCTCTAAGCCCAACAGGACCCACCACTGACACATATGGAATGATTTGGCATATACATTTGTGGATCTTAAAAATCAATCAAATTGATTAGATGTAATACAGAATAGCTGAGATGGTGGTGATGGTTATTTTCTTATTTTATATTTGACTATATTCCACATTCTCTCACTCTGTCAGAGTTGGTGCGTGGTGTTGTTGCACGGTTGTTTTTTGTATTTCTATGTATATGCCAAAGTCAGATGCTGAAAAGGTGACTGTGAAAGGTAGCCATGGGGACAGCAGCTTGCAGAGGGAGTCAGACAGCTTTAGGGTCAAGAGGACAGTGTGGTGACAAGGGACAGCAGTCCAGAGCACACCCCAAGGACCAACAAAAACAAGAACACATTAACAGCACAACATTTCATACTTAAAATCTTGAAGATAAACACAAATCACATATAATCAAACAAAAATCACCAATGAATAACAGACACTATACAACTATCAACAGGTCGGAAAGTATGGACTGAAGAGAAACTATCCTGCGATGAATGTTGTGGTTAGATTCATTAATAGATTAATTGCATTGCAAAGTGAACACATGATTACATAAATAAAAATATCTTACATTTAGATTGCTCTTGTTAAATGAGAGAGAGATAAAAGAAAAGTAAGGGTTAGAAAGACACAGAGAAAACATTAAAAACACAGCAGAGGAATCTTAAAACCTTTTGTTTAACTGACCCTTCTCTGTCACCATCATATGAACTATCACTAACTACTTTCTTACCGGCAAGCCCTTCTCTCCTGGCTCTCCCTTAGGACCTGGTGTTCCCTGTGAAGAAAGTTTAACAAAATGTAAAAAAACAAAGTTTACTGTGACTTCATAACACTAATAAATGCAGTGCAGCAGTTTACACCAACAGGACGAGCTCTGAGGCTGTGGTGTCTCTGTGTAGTGCTGCTGGGTAGTGTCGTTTACAGAAATATAACCAGCTGTGACATGTGTTGATGTTTCACCCGTTGACTCAGGAAATAATCTTAACAGGATGGAGGTATCTTACCTGCTCGCCTCTGAAGCCCCTCTCTCCTGGGTAACCTAAAGGACCCTGAAAAACCAGAGGCATGTCTCAGAGTTTTGTTTACGGATGGAGGGTGAAATGCAGAAAACATGTTACAAAGCACTGAGTGCACTCACTCTATCCCCACGCTCTCCTTTTGGCCCCACAGGGCCCTGTGTTCCAGCAGCTCCAGATTTCCCCTGCATCGAGTCAAATTAGAAATTCAAAATGACAAGGAATTTTTTTTTTATAAATCAACTGTAATGTGAGGGAGCTTACATTCTGTCCCGGTGGACCAGGAGGTCCTACTGGGCCTTTGGGACCTGAGGGACCTGCAGAATAGACAGAGATATACATAGTAGCACAAAGTAACTTCACCCACTGAGAGGAGGTGCTGCTGCCTTTAACTGTTGTTTTCTTTTGCCAGGTTTCAGGTTACAACTTTATGGCTTTCAACATTGAAGGATGATTTGTGTTTGGTGCCCTGGTTTAAAATCAAACAGAAACTAGAAACCTCTGATAAAGTAAAATGAGACTTTAAAGGTTCAGTGTGTAGAATTTAGTGATACAGTATCTAGCGTTGAAGTTGCATGTTGCAGCTGAATACCTCTCACCTCACCCTCCCCTTCCAAACATGAAAAAGAACCTGAGGTAGCTTCAGTTGTCATAAAAACTCAAGGAGGTGTTTAAAGGTGTTTAGTTTGTCCAGTCTGGACTACTGTAAAAAACATGGTGGCCTCCGTAGAGAGGGTCCCCTCAATGTAAATATTTTAGTATTTAAATATAAAGGGGCTTTTCTAGGGTAAAGAAAACTACAATTCATACAATTTAGATGAAACAACTAGTGAAAACATCATGAGGATTATTCTACATTAAATTTCTGCCAATAGTTTCATTTCACCTAAATCTTACACACTGGACCTTTAAGTCCAAATTGCACTGGAAAAATTGAATTAAAAGTGTCAGCTAGAAAAACAGTATTCACTAGATAAAACTAGACTGTGAATTTACTGTATTATTGTACGTAAAGCATGACCACTATAAAAATATTTGTGTCTATGAATGAGAAGTTTGTCAAACACATCACAAACGTCCTGTGTGCAGTTAGTCACAGGTAAACACAATAAACAGCCAGATAAATAAACACTCACCGACAGGACCGGGGGGGCCCTGAGGTCCCGGAACGGGCGATCCTTGTGAGTCATGAAACGTGTTGGTGTAGAAGAGGTCTTTTCTACGAGCTGGAGGGGAAACAAAATGTCTGATTTTAATGGGATGTAGAAGCTGCAGTTAAGGAAAGTATTTGAAAAAAGGATCTAAACTGATGTCTGTAATTTAGTGATAATAAAATTGGATCTTGAATAGTAATCAGTCTCTTTTTGTTGATTTTGTATTGTCCTTCAGGTCACTGACTTAAACCTCTATATGCTCCATACATTTGACGAGCAGCAAGGCTTGATTTGTATGTGCCTGAAAGAACGCAATGTATGAGAAGTGAACCTAAAGACTCCTGTGGAAAAATGCATTGTTCTCTAAGAACTGCTGAAGAAAGCTTATGTTTCACTTTTGTGTTTGTTGCTGTGTGAGCCTGCTGCCTTAAGCAACTTGTAAACTTTCTTTGTTGACCTAAAAGATCCTCTCAGGTTACTAATTCACAAATTAGATTCACCACTAGAGGACAGTGTTTTCCAACAAATACTCTTCTAACAAGTTCAACAGAGGAGTAAACTGAACTCAATAGTAAAATCTAAACCACTATTACAAGCAGATCAAACTTTCCTGCATGATTAATACAATTATGAATTGTTGCATTGAAACACTTGCATTACATACCCACATATCCACCATGTAAACACTGACCAGGCATACATGACTACCTGACTAAAGAGAAAGGACAAGAGGAACAGAGTGTTGAGCGTGCGAGCTGTAGAGGAAGTGTGCGGTCATTGGGTCATTTTATACTGACAGGATACGCAGATCCAATCACAGCGTAACGCTTCAGGAGACACAACGGAGGAGGAGGAGCCAGTAACATCCTCCAGCTGCCAGATCGCAGCACACTGCCAACAGATCAGGACCAGAGGTGACATCCAAACCAGAGCCGCCCCCTCTGTGTCTGTGTCTATTTCTACACGCTCTCTTCATTTCCTGCACAGTGCGTGACATGAAAATGTGTGGAGGTACTAAAATCCTACTTTTTACACAACTGCACAGTCTCTTCACTGCTTTAAGTCCTGGCTGCTGCTGCTGGTTTCAAGGATCCTCTCCTGATCTGCAGAGGAGAATTCCATCCTCCTGATGCAGATGTAAAAGCCAAATAATCCTGTGTTTTCCAAAGGAAGCTCGGCACAGGACCCTCTAACCCCCCACCCCAGCCCCTGGTGCTCCCCGGTGTTACTTTGATGTGAAAGAAATGACCCACTATCGCCATGCCAAACTCTACGCATCCACAGAACCCCTGTCCACAGGAACCCATTCCTTACAAACCTGTGCAGCACATACTGTTTCAACACAGTCAACACATGTTGACCTTGTACGAGCCGGTGCAGGCCCCCATCTGTCTCTCACCCCCCCACCTCAGCTGTCTGAACGGCCTACATCTGGAAGTTGTTGAGTGACATCAGTGGTGGACAGGTTCTCATCCCAGCATGTGATGTCTGTGTCAATCTCAAAATGTCTCTGCCTCCATTTAATGCTGGCAGATAAACAATACGAAGCAAGTAGCAGTTAAAGGATTACCGTCATCCTGTCTGTTTCTCATTTCTCTTGTTTACCATTAGTCCTAAACCCTGTGAGAGCTCTCACGCAGCACGAGAAACCAAAATGCTGAGGTTGCTGAAGGCATATAAATATCAGTGGTGTCAAACTAGAAGTCCGCAAAAACCTACGTCATGCTGTTTCCCGAACAAAGGCTTTGAATTTGTGTACAAGTACTCGTGCTGGGTTCATGGAAAGATTATTTTGTTTGAATGTGGGATCACATTGTCTGGTTTAGCCATGAGGGAAATGTCTCCGTTCTTGCACGAGGTGGTGAAATGATTGTCTGACATTGGTGTACTCTCCATCCGAGTTTGTGACCTTTGGGATACGTCCAGGTCCATAAAAGTGTGAGAATTCATAAGCTGTACAAAAGCAGCCTTCCCATTTTTGTGAACCAACAGAAGGAAAACAACAGTTGAATATAACAACCAGAAGCTGCTTACAGGTCTCGAGGAAAACACATTTGATTATTTGATAATTAAAGATCTGCAGATATGGATTTAGAAGAAGTGAGTTTAAAAGACCTCTTGGTGTGAATGGTTGTTTGTCTCTTTTTGGCCCTGCAATACGTTGACAACCTGTCCAGGGTATACCCTGCCACTGGCACAATGTCACCTGGGATTGGCTCCAGCTCCCCCTCAAAGGATAAGTGGTATGAATAAACAGACGGGTGGACGGAAAGCATTACACACCCAAATCTCTGACTGCACTGGTGGCAGTGGTGTTGCATTATAGGTTGTAGATTTTTTATCAGGATATATGGATGGACTACTGTTGCAAAGAGTGGTTTTAACTATTTGGTGTAGAGTGTGTGTCTGTATAAAGTCTATTGGGTGTCCAGGGTCTTACTGTTGTCTGGCTCTGGGATGTGGGCACTAGCTGGTGCTGGGGGCCCTGGAGGCCCAGGCGGCCCTGGTAGACCCCTGTCCCCTGGGAGTCCTGGTGGACCACGGGGACCTGAGGGAAGGGATGACACACACATCACTGCAGTGACAGACACACTGTGACTACATCTTCTGGAGAGGAAAAGCACAATGTCAGAGTAATAATAAATGACTGTGGGAGATGTGAGGATGTGAAGGATAAACTATGACGAAGAGCAGAGAGGAAACATATTAGAAAAAGTGCTGATTGAGACATTGTTATAGTGTGTGGTAGAAGTGTCTTTGTATGTGCATGTGCACATGTGGAGTAAAATCAGCAGCTGGACCGAGGAGGAGAAGCGAACTGGCCAACTCCTCTCTGTAATTAACGGGAGGGTGGGCTGGTGGGCTGGTGCTGGGAACTTACTCAGGGACACGGGAAAACTCAAATAAACACCATTACGCTCTGTAAAGTGTTACTGGCACCAGTTCATGGTAAATTAAATACTCCCAGCATACACGCTGCTGGCTTTAGTCCGTGCATGAACCAGTAACAGTCTGCCGCTGGTCCATGTGGGCCGATCACTGAAAGTGCCTCTCCTCCTCCAGCAGACAGGTTTATTTGAAGGTGGGAAAAAATGACCACGACTGCACCTGACCTCATTGTGTGGACGCTGCCACACTCACCATCTTCTGTTTATACACGGATGCAACTGACAATGGCACTCTGCTAATTATTACTCAGCAAGGTAATGTTAATGTAGCTCGGATTTGACACCTCCTCGGGCCGTTTTCACTTAGCCTCGATAAACACTGCAGCATGACCAGCTGTGTTTTGGCTGCATTGGAGAGATTTTAAGCTGCAATCTGCAGCAGAGCGGCTGAAATAGCCTGTTAAAGTGGCCTTTTAGTATATGTGACATATTTGAGAAAACAGTTTTGTGTTTTTTCCTGCAGAGTAATGGTTCCCTAGAGCAGCCGGGGGATACCCCGTCAAAATATGAATCACAGTCTGTAATTCAACTCTCCTGTAACTTATCAGGACTTATCATAATGTATAGTGTCACTTCTCCTAACATCACAAGTTGTTTTTTCCCCCCTTCCATCTTTCCCATGACCCAGGGCTAAAACCACATTTGTCTACATTTTGCTCTGACGTTGGACACGTTCCAATTCTGTGTTTGTCTTTGAAATGAAAAAAATAATAATAATCTGCACAATAAGGAAAACACAGCTTTGGATGCGAGACATAGCTCTGGCTCTGGGTACTTATGAAGTAATGGAGATAGAAAAAACAATAACACCACAGGCATATGGAAATCATAAGAACCTGGGATTTGTGTATATATAACTCATGTTCATTTCAGATTGAAGTCACATGGTGTGGGTTTGCAGTTAAACTCTTTCACTAAATCTCGTCTTTACCCAGCAGCAGGCACCGAGCAGGGGTCATATGTTGGCCTGAAAGGAGAGGCACTCCCTTCATGATTCTGAGCAGAGGAATAACAGCCGATAGTGAGAGCAGATGTTGTGACAAACGTATACCTCCATTGACTTTATTATCATTCAAGTCACAGCTGCCTGTGGATTTACTTTTTTACCCAACAGGTCATTTATTATTAGCACGTAGAGGGGTGAGCTCTAAATACATATACATGCATCTGTTTCTGTTCCGGTTGGTGGCCATGAGCAGCAGTGAGCACATGTTGGGGAGTTTAAAAACAAATGTTTTTGCTGCCCACTGAAACTGCACTTTTAGAAACATATGATTTTAAAAGCCAACCAGCACAATGGCCACATTCCAGTAAGTTACCAGCTCTGACATTTTCCGCAGGAGGGTCTGTGGGTTGTGTTGGTCACTACTGTCAAATTCAAATGTCTTGTTTTACAGACAAACAGCTAAGTGGATGGGCAAGTATACAACTGTCCTGCAGTGACGCACACAAAACTTTATGGACAAACTATGCCAACATCCAGACTCAGCTGTTTTCCACCAGTCATCTGTCTGGATTTATACTTTCAGTCCACTCTTACCTGCTGGTCCGTGGGATCCCTTTGATCCGGGGGTTCCAGATGGGCCCCTTGCCCCAGCCTCCCCCCGAGGCCCACTGGGACCTGGCAGACCCCGAGACCCTGACTTCCCTAAGAGGAGGAAAAAGTAAGTGAGTAATCATGGAGCCTTAACTGGTTTACATCTTAAATGGATTTACATTGACTAAAAGGCAACTATGATTACGACTTACCATCTCTGCCAGGAAGTCCATCTCTCCCCTTTTCACCCTGAGGACCTGTAATGAAAGCAGAGATGACTTAATTGAGAGATGCAGCTCTGTGAACAACATCTGGGCTCAAACCACTTGGAGAGGGAAAGGAAAATCCACTGAGGGATGAGCTGGAACTCTCTGATTTCACGTAATAGAGCAAAAAGAAGTGTCATTATTGTGTTTAAACTTAATAAAGCCTAATTCAAACTTCAGTTCCAAATTAATAAATTAACTTTGACTCAGCCAATAAATTCCTGAAAATGAAAATGTTTGTTTAGTGATTTCAGTTGGACCTTTAATAAAAAGTTCAACAAGAGCTCCGGCTACAGTGATGTGAGGAAGTGTCTCTTTATTAACGGGGAACACCACCTGTTGTACGAAGTGAATTCTGTTTGTAGGACCTGGGAAATACCACTACACAACTTTAAAATGTTTTGTGGAAGCTGAACAAGCTGTGTGAAATGAGCTAAAATGCATCAAGTGTTGTAATGTGGGTCAGCGTTGTTGAAAAGAAGGAACATGGAGTTAGAAAGAAATGATCTTAGCATGCTTCTCTCTGAGGCTGAAGGCTACATTAGCCTCTACAAGCATAGCATACCCGAATCTCAAACTTAACTGGTGACAGTCAAGTTGCATTTTAGGTATTATTCCCCTAAAAAAGTGAAATAAAAAAAAATGCATTTAAAAGTTAACAAAGGGTGTGATTCCCTTGGGACCATGAATACACTCAACAAATCCCAGAGTGATTTGACCATTTGATTATGACATGATTCATCTCGTGTGCACTTTGGCCTGAGGGTGACACTAGTGGAATGATCCTATAGTGCCCAAGATGGAAAAAAGTGTATCCTCTGGGGAGAATGAATGCATCGGTTCATTTTCTTTTTGTTATCTGCACCTGTAACTTTTGGCACAACTCTTGTGCTCTGTTCAGTCATGATTAATGGCCACATAGCCCTGAAGTATAACGTGCACTATTTTTTTACCCTCCGTCATTTTTGTGTTTTATGTGTTCAAATTATGAATGTGAGTGTCCACATAAATTACACTATGGAGCATCCATGGTATGTACACTACTTTCTGCTAACAATCAAATGGATCGCATTTTACAGATACAAATTGATCACATCTGTTTATCGGAAAACATCAGCCAAAAACTTTGGAGTAATTTTGCATAGGGTGAAATATTATACGAAAGATAATATCACAACAAAATACCTTCTGATAGTTGTTTTGGTAGGACAGGTACCTTGTGCGGCATTGATTAACCTTTTAGCTGCACGAAAGTTTGTTCATTCAACTTCTTCGCTGCTAAGCTTGACACCATGAAAGGAGAGGACGCTCATGCTCCAAAGCGTTCACTTTTCACACAGCCACAGAGAGCTCACGGTGAGCAAAGTGCAAAAGGAAATGAAAAGTGTGTGCAGAGCAAGAAAAAAGATATGAGCAGAAGTGAGCAGGTGGAGGGGAAAAGGAGCTGTGAGAAGTGATTACTAACTCAATTATCAAAACCCTGGACTCCCTCAAAGGAAGCATACAGTATTTTTTAACTTATTCATACAAGACAGGGAAAAGTATCTACCTGCAGGTCCCTGCTCACCAGGGGCCCCCTGAGCAGGCGCAGCCCCAATTAGGGATGAGGCCTCTGGTGCAGTTCCTCCTTTACCCTGAGGGTGGCGATGCGATATGGAGGACGGGGCAGTGAGTAATTGGACCTGGTACAAGGAGACATAAAACAAGAGTGGCCACATAAAAATACATGCATGTTAATGCAGGACTGTGTTTGTCAGTGGTTAAGAAACTGTGGCTGAATGACTGACGTCGGACATCAACTGTTACCTTCACCTCCAGTGAGTTCAGCCTGTCACTCAGAGCTGTGATTCTGCTGCAGTTCAGACAATCTAAGAAAAACACAAAGTTTCTTGATTCACCTTCAGAAATCAGACACTTAAATATCATAATTTATAAAATCCTTTGTAAAATCAAAGTACAGCAGTAACATGTTCACAGTTCTTACTAGAGGTTGGTTCTGCTGTGCGTGCAGGCGGCCGGCGTAGCGTCGATGGTTTCCTCACTGCTTCCTGAGCCACAAGCTGGTTCCCTGCATCTGTAACAGATGATAAAGCGACAGAAAAAATTAAATTTCTGAACTTTAACTTTAGCTTTAACTTTAACATATTTCTTGACCTTGACAACTTTGAGAAAAGGTTCGGAAGTCTCTGTCTCCATCAGAGAATCAAATGGTAGGAATCACAGATTTATATAATTTACAAATTTAATTTAGGAAGTGTTCAGTTATGTTGTTATGTTGTTAACTGATAACTATTTGTCCACCACACTACATTTTTACACATCAATTGAATCTGTCAGAAATCCAAGATGATCTGATTTTACCTTCTTGAATGTAAAGAGTTAAAGTTTTTTCTATTATCAATTAATTGTATTTAATATCATTGGGGTTTGGAATATTAGTAAGACAAAGCAGGACCTTTGAAGACATTAACTTTGGTTCTAAAAATGATAATTTTTCACTCTGACATTTTATAGACAAAAAAATTATAGATTAATAATGGTTAATTTGCCGACAGAAAGAAGAAATGCAGTACTGAGGTGAATCATCTAAGATATCCCAGGAAGACTGTGGACATTAGTTTGAAGTCTGGACAGTAAGTGAAAGAAAGAGGCAAGAAAAAAACATTTGTCTAGGATTCTGATCAAACCTCCTCACAGTCATTGTCCATTGAAAGGCTGCAGGTGTATTATTACTGTTAATGTCATCACTACAGAGGCTGTGGGTTGTATGAAGAATTTTCACCAGAAATCTCTCTCTCTGTCAATGGGATGTCTTCCTCCAGGATAACTTCTTATTATTAGGCAAAAAGAGCTGATTAAAGGTTAACAACGTGTAGAGAAGACAGAAATGGAGATCAACAGTTGCAGATTTTGTCTCTGGCACACTTTCAAAAGAGAAAACATTGTGCACGCTGCATCTTTGCCAAGTTGCCTTCCTTTTACCTTGTTTCTTTATAGAGTATAAAATCGCAAGGCCTGGGAGAGAGGGCGTGTAAAAGACAAACAATAGTTTCCTTGTGCGTAGAGAACGGGCAGCCTCGGCTCACATTCTGTCTTGCCTTCACTTTATGAAGTGTGGGAGTTTGTGTCTCTGGACTGTGGATGTTTTGAATGGGCAGACTTTGGTGGAAATGCGAGACTGACTCCTTTGTCTGGCCCGGTCTGGCTCTGCTTGGCCCAGGTGCTCCTGATACAAATGAGGGGCCGGGTTCAGCACCTCATTAGTCGCCAGAATGCACGTCTTTCCATACAGTGGCCAGCAGCCACGGCCAACGCCAAGTGCTGCACTAAAAAGAAGCCGTGAAATAGCACCTGCAGCATCGAGGCTGGAGCAGGAGAGAGGCGTTCTTCTTAAACAGCCTCATTTGTTGTAAAAGCACATGTCACGATCTGCCTCTACTCACTGGAAAGGAACACGGAGAGCTTATTGTCACAAAGGAAAATAAAGGTTTGGGAATTTTAGACAGGAGAGCAAAGCGGGTCGAGCAATTACCCAGAGAGCAGGAAGAGCGAGAGAGGGCAAAGGAGGAGAATGAAAAGTACACAGAACACATGGTTTAGGGTAAATTGAGACCGCTCCAATAATTCCTCCTCCTCAACCTCTGTGCTCATGATTTCACTGTTTTGGGTTGAGGGCATTTCTCAGAGGATTACAAGTGTAGATGGATTCAAACCATGTAAGACCTGACACTGAAATGTTATGGCATGAGCTGGAGGTTGTAGAAAACGTTGGATAACAACATAAACCTGGCACGAGGATGTAGAGAACACACACTTTGAACCTGCTCGTCTGTACCACTCTGCTGTCCACTCGGGGAGGATGGCAAAGACAAAGAGAGAGGAGTGCATGTGCATGTAGTATGTGCACACTCTGGAGTTCGATGGCTGCATTCAATTACAAAGGGGCTCTGGATAGGAAATCTAGCTCTCGCCACTCCCCACCCGACGGCACCTCTTCTCCCTCAAGAGAAAAGAAAGTCTAAGTGCCAAGATCCCCTCACCCACACATGAGCTATTGTATGAAGCTTCAAGCCAGCGCTGGCACAAGGACAACTGTCTCCCACACACACCTCATACACACTCCCTCTGTCTGTTTTCCAACAACAAATTTCAAATCCTGCAGGGCCCCACTGATATTCTGCTTTCTCCAGTGACAGTGTCTGTTAATTACAAGGCCTATGGTGTGTGTGTGTGTGTGTGTGTGTGTGTCTGTCTAAGCTGTGTAAGGTAAAGCCTGAAGACTGAGGATGACTTTGATGCCTCAAGTGTTATGCATTGGTCCCTCGGCCAACAACAACATCATCACAGCTAGCGAACGCCCCCTGATGGACACGGTTCACCGTGTCCCACTCTTTGTTCTCAGTGGGCTAATTGCCCCAGTGGGGGAGTGAGGAGGGTGAGTGTCAAAGCAATGTGTGAATGTATTTGACCCACTGGCCCCGTGTTGCACTGGGCCCTAATCAGTGACTGAGTCAGAGCTCTTCATTAGAGAAATCTCCCCACAGAGAGTTCAGCCAGCCAGAGGCCGTCCTGACATCAGCTCTGTCTCTCGTTCCATTTCTCTCTGTCTCTCTCACACACACATACAAAGTTTAATTATCTGTGTATAAGCACTCTTTGACCAATATTTGCCCATGCTGGTGCCAAAATCTCACAGGAATACAAGAAAGATATGAGCGAAGGTCACAGAGAGAACCTTTTTCTGATCTTTGTGTGTTTGGGTGCAGGGGCATGAAGAGATTGTTTCTGCTTGAGCATGTGATGATCTGCTCCATATATTGTATGTGAAGGTATTTTGGTACGGAGGACATGGGGTTAGGACTTTAGAAAGGATTTGGATTTTGTAGAAAGTCTATTTTAGACTGAATTTATCATATTAAAGTTTATTATAGAGCTTTGGAGTCCTCCAAACATCTTTGTAAGCATGTAGCTGGTGGCTTTGGTTAGATACCAATGAAATTGTTTCCTGATATCTGGGCAACCCAGACAGGACTTTCTCTCTGACCACTAGCCTGTAAAATAAAAATAGATAAAAATAAATTTAAAAAAACCTCTGAGACACCACAATTCAGTCAGCGGCAGATTGAATGTGAGCCAACATCCGAGTTATATTTTCACCAAGAGGGAACTGTACTTAAGAGGGACACCCTTAAAAACTGAACTGACTGCACTCAACGGAATCCAGCGTTTTCATTTTGGACTCCACAAAAGATTACGAAACTGCTACTATCGATAAATTATGTTATTATAGTAGCGGCTTTATTCCAAAGCTGTTATTATTGGCCTTAAACCCCACTTGGAGCAGTGCTGGTACCATCAGAGTGAGAGCCAAGTGCACAATGACCAGGACTGCAGCTGCACCACTCACTCTACATAAGGTGTATGTGCTCGAGTAGGGTTTTGCCTTTGTGTGTGTGATAAGTACACACTTGCACTGGTTGTATTATGAATAGGCCAAGGTCATTCCGTCAGTGATTCTCTCCCAGTGAAAATAAACCTCATGCCAAAAGCCCAGTTAGCTCTGCCAACCAGAGGCCTTTAAACACACAGCTCACACTCAGCGGCCTCATCCACCAAGCTCATCATTTATTGTTGTTTATTTATTCTCTACTTCTGCAGAAAGATTCAGCAGCATGCAGACAGGCTTTGTGAATGTACCAGTGACAGTTTTGTTGTTCTTTCATACGGTCTGCAGCAGAGTGGATGGATTTGTGAAGACAGGGCCGAGGCAGACGTTTGCTGCACGTCCACTAAAAGCTCATCCGGGCAGTGAAACTATGTTATGTCAAAGTTTGAAGTTCTTTTGGGGAAGAACAGCACAAGGCCTGGCAACAGCTGCACGCAAAACACACACACACACGCACGCACGCACGCAC